TCGTGTTGGCCAGGCTGGTCTCAAACTCCTGACCTCAGGTGATCCGCCTGCCTGGGCCTCCCAAAGTGATGGGATTACAGGCATGAGCCACCGCACCCAGCCGCATCCCGATTTTAGAAATGGGTAATCTGAGGTTGAGAGAGGCTGAGACACTTGCCGTGCAGCTGGTCAGTGATGCAGCGGGGAGGCAGCCCCAGGCTGTGTGATCTGCACTTCACACCATGGCCCCCAGACCGGATGCCCTCCCCACAGGTGGCATCAGTTAGTTGACAGCCATTGTGACGTGGGTCTCGCTGGGCCCATGCAAGCGACACGGCACCCATGAGGCTGATGTAGGGTACGTGGAAGGCTATCTGGGAGGGGGGATCTGTAGACCCTTCCAGATGTCCTGAGCTTGGGTCTCCGCTTGCCCAGCAGAGCAAGTGACTGGGAGAAAGCTGTCAGGCCCCTCTGGGTTGGACCAGTGCAGGTGCTGGGTGGAGCCATGGTGGGTGCAGTGGGGTGCCTTCCTCTGTGACCTTTCCAAGTGCCTGGCACCAGGCTAAATGCTTTTCACAAATCTCATTTAATTCTCATTCCAACCCTTATCTCTAGTTTAGAAATGGGGAAACAAACAGGTCCAGAGAGGGACAGTGCCTTGCCCAGGGACACACAACAAGGTGGGAGAAGAGCTGGGCTCCTGCTGCAGTGCTCCTCCTGCACCCCAGTGCTGTCTAATCAGAGAGCCCAGTGTGGGCAGACAGAGGCCCAGGTCCTTAGCTCAGCTGTCATAGTCTCTTCCCTCTCTGAGCCTGTGTCCTCACCTATAAAATGGGATCATGCCACTTTGCCTGCTTCCACGACCAGTGTGGGCAGAGGGGAGACACAGGGTTACTCTGCAGGGTCCGAGCCCTAGGGAGGTTCCTGAACCCTGGGAGGAGTTCCTCTGAAACTTAAGCAGCTCCGGGATCCGACTCACCCAGAAGGATCCAGCATCACTGGGCTGGGTCCCATCTCCGCCTCTGGCAACACCAGAAAGCAAGGAATCCCAGAGGCCTCAGCCCTGCAGCTCCCAGGGAAGCGGGCCTGGGTGTGGTGGGGGCGGGGTACATCCAGGTGTCACCATCCCCTCTTTCTCCTAGTCTGGTTGGATGAGACAGGGTCGTGCCCGGATGATGGAGAACTCGACCCGGAAGCCTGAGGAGGTGTCGTGGATTTGTCTGGTGGGCTCCTGCTGCAGGGTCCCACCTTCAGGTGTCCGGGGGCGTGGCTGCCTGGAGCAGGTGTGCTGAATACCCTGGATGGGAACTGAGCGAATCTGGTCTCCGCTGGGAGAGATGTGGCAGGACCAGCGAGGAATCCAGCCTGCCTGCTTCCGGAACAGTGTTTCCCGACCCTGCTGAGTGGACTGGACCTCTGACACCTCCAGGGTCTTGCTGACTCCAGCCTGGTGCAAGGGAGCTCCATGGTCCTGGCTGTTGGGGTCCCAGGGAGAGGCTCTCTTCAGGACAAACACACCTTCCCAGCCCCACGGGCTGTGCAAACACATGCCCCTGCCATAAGCACAAACAAGAACTTCTTGCAGGTGGAGTGGCTGTTTTTTATAAGTTGTTGTACAGATGTGGGAACAGTCCAAAATGGGATTTATAATTTCTTTTTTTTGCATTATAAATAAAGATCCTCTGTAACAAATGGTGAATCCTTTTTTATTTTTTTTGAGACAGAGTCTCGCTCTTGTTTCCCAGGCTGGAGTGCAATGGCGCAATCTCAGCTCACTGCAGTGTCCGCCTCCCGGGTTCAAGCGATTCTCCTGCCTCAGACTCCTGAGTAGCTGGGATTACAGGCATGAGTCACCATGCCTGGCTAATTTTCGTATTTTTAGTAGAGACAGCGTTTCACTATGTTGGCCAGGCTAGTCTTGAACTCCTGACCTCAGGTGATCTACCCGCCTCAGCCTCCCAAAGTGCTGGGATTATAGGCGTGAGCCACCGCACCCGGCCACAAATGGTGAATCCTGCTTCTTGGGTCAGGAGGAGGCGATGGAGCATGCCAGGGATATAGTGGGCCCCACGGCCAGGGCCAGCTCTCTGGACGTGTCCTGCACACTGCCACAGGGCCC